GGTTTTAGAGTCCTTTGCTGGCATTGCCTATTGCCAGAAGAGAAGTCAGCAACACCTCTGTGGGGCTAGGCCTATGAAAGAGATTTTTGGATCCACCAATACTTACATACACTGAGTGAAGGCTTTAGAAGAATCAAACTGATTATGGCAAGAAGGGCAACTCTGCAGTGCTGTGTCCTGGCATTGACAAATCTACCTATACCAACAGCTTCCTCTGTGGAAAAAGGTCCTTAGGACTAATGCCTACAGTTTTAGGACAGTGTGTATAGTGCTAAATCTTAGAAACATGACAGTGGAGTTGGTCCTACATAAGCAGGTTTAAACTAAAAACAACTTTGCCATGTCTTCCAGTGTTATGCTTAGCCTCACGGTATTCTGCTTTTTGCAAAGCTTGAACTCCTGGTTTCATGTGATTATTACACAGTTTTAATAAAAACCCCAACATTTAGCCTTTTGAGTTGCAGAGGAAGAAAAATCTAAATTATCAATCAAAAAGGACAGATAAGTATTTACTTCCACAGATAAGTAAAGTATTCTCTTTTTTGCTCCACTACAGGAATGGGAAATACTCTGCTATGGGCTATTTTGCAAGTGTGTGTGTGTGTGTGTATGGTGGTAGGAAATCAAATTAATTTGGAAAGACTGTCAAGGGTCTCTGTCCAAAATTGTGAAGTGAAAACTGAAGATAAAAACTGCTTTATGGAAACAGGAACAAGAGAGCTGAGCAGCCTTGGAATAAGTTGGATATACTCCTCCAACATGCAGAGATCTTCTGGCTACTCTAACCTAATCCTGCAATACTATTCCAATGTTATTTTACTGGAAGTATGAAAATAGGGGACAAGAATAAACAATGAAAGTTCAGTAATACTAACTTTCAGCTGGGAGCATCATCAACCTGCCTAAGATAACACAGGTAAAAGACTGACATCCCACCAATAGTCTTTTTTATTACTTTTTTGCCTGGCCTAAGTCTCTCTTGGAACAACAAAGACCTGTGGAAAATCAGAAAAATCTGAAAGACTAAGAGAGGGAAACAAATCAATTTTATAACCTGCATTGTGTTCCTTGCTCCTTGCTATCCTAGGCAGATCACTGGTATGATGAAGTTTCAGTGGGCCTCTGAAGTTAACCAGCTATCTTTTTGAGGGATTCCATCAAGCAGTGTTTTGCCCTCAGAGATATACTACCACAACTGGCGCTTTTCCCTTCCATCTTAAAACAGAACCAGCAACACTTACCCCAAGTCCATTTTAAATTATGTTATTCTTATGGGGAGTCCAAATGATCTAGAATACGTAGACACCAGTGGGCTGCATTCCTCAACTGCCACTGCTAATACCTTGGCAGCTTTACCTACTTATATTCCAATATAATGGAAATGGAAATCATTTAGAAGAATTCAAATCCCTTATTTTGTTGAGTAAGTATGGATCTATCTGGTTTGAAAATTGCTTTAGATGTTAGTGCCTCAGCATAGTTCTGGCTCCTTTTTCTCATGATTTCTTTACCATGACCAAAGTTATGTAAAGCCAATAGAAGATTTCTTTGTTGTCCCGTAAGCTTTGCCATCTACCTGATGGATCTGTTCTTCTAGAAACCAATTGTTGTACTCTAAATGTTCCCTAAAATCACTACCACATTGTTCTTAAAGGCATTCTTTTGGGGCTGGTCTCATAAGTCAGGGGAGTATAAGCTAGATTTAAGCAGCAAAGAGCGAATAGGGGTTTTTAAATGTGACTATAAGGACAGCCCACACAATTTCACACAGAAAGAAACAACTAAAACTTGACACACAGCTGGCAGTGGTGTTAGGCTGTGATATCCTAATCCTTAATGCAAGTAAGTCCTGTGCTGGTCCTGGAGATTTATGAACTCTAAAAACTTGTGGAAATTTGGAATATTCATGGGATTACAATGTTTTCCATCAGTTTGAGTCCAGTCAGCATTTAATGGCTGGTGTAGGTTCAGACCTCAGACTGAATACCTTGAGAATATCTAGGAGGCTGAGAAGCCATTATCCTTCTGCAATGGGATGCTTATGTGCAAGCAACATATATTTTTTATTTTGTGGTCTTCTCTTCCAATACACATGTTGTCATTCCAGAGATGGATTGTCTTATTCAGGAGCCTGTTACTCTAGGTAGTGTGTCTATACTGGCACTTTGTTTCAGGTGAAGAATGCCCTTCTGAAACAAATCTCCTGATTGTCCCCCACTGTGCTCTGTTTTTTCACCAAAAAAACCCTCTAGGAATGCATGACTGGATTCCTTTAGAATAAAACTAAACCAGAAGAAGCACGTCATGAGTAAACCTACTTTACTCATGCTGCTGATGGTCATCCATTTCAGAGGATCACAATAGACCTGGTTTGAAATACAGCTGCCTCAAACAAATATAGATTGGATGCCAGGCCTTCAGCACCATTTCACTGTTCTGATTGCTCCTATCAGGTTGTATTCTCTGCTAGTATAGATGTAACTAGGGGCAATTACTATTACAAAGAAAATTCCTAAAGTGAGATAATTACAGAAATTTTGAGATTAGCCTTTCTTTCACTGTTGAGTACATGGCTTTTTGGCTGGGGCCGTCAGGGCAGGGAGAACTGGGAAACTACAAACCATGAATTCAGAAGGGAGCAGAAACCTCAGCAAGTGCTGAAATTTTGGGCTCTTGCATCTTTTTTCTAGATCACGTCATGTTGACCACAAAACCACAGCAGGACTACGTGCCAAGTAAAGCACAAAGTCAGTAGCATCATTTGTAGAGATCCCCTAGGGAAAGAGTTAAATAGAATTTTAACAGGTTAAGGTTTTGTAGCAAGACCCACAAATGAGTCAGTTATAAATAGGTCCAAACCCCCTTTATTTTCTGTAACTGCAGCTCCTCTGCCATTTTCTTACAGAGGATGTCTATGAAATTCCTAGGAGAAATAAATTTTATTTCACTATGAGAATGTGTTCACTGTGCTAGAAACCTGAACCTGTTTTAAAATTCTCCTTCCTAAAAAAAGCCTTTTTGACTGGAACTCCCAGAAAAGCATTTTGAACTCCTGTAATCAAATGGTAAGAAACTCTTTCATCCTCTCTTGAATCTTCCTGGGGACAGGAATGGCAACAGTCCTCTTTGGAGTCCTCACTTTCCTGAATGTGTGTTATTCTGTACCTTGGAAATTCCCTGGCAGATCCTTCGGGTAAGATGAAACATTCCCTAGTGTTATATTTTCAACAGACTTTTCCTCAAGATAGTGCTGCAATACTAACTGCTGAAGAAAGGAAACAATAATCTGCATTTCCATTAAGTGGATGAGATACTGTTATCAATTTAAGTCATAAATTGAATCGAATATCAGAGTTTTAAATGGAATTCCTCACAAAATTCTTCCCAGCCTACAGGTGATAAGTAGTACAAATCCTGCAGACTGTCCACTCATACTTAATAGTGCTACATTTCCCCAAGGGACTATTTGAAAATTAACCCCTGAACTTGCTGTCAAAACCCAGCTGACGTTGGGTAACATGGATTTCTTTGCCTTCTCTTCAGTTCCTTGTCTGACTCTGGCTTGAGTATTTCTGGCGTCCACAGATACCTCTGTCTAGGTCTTGTCTTTGATCCTGTTTAAGAAATTAATTCCTGTAAGAGTAGCAGGGCTCACACAGGGTGTTCTCGCTTCTTAACATAAATACTAAGAAAAAATGCTAGAAATGCCCCACTGGTCCTGTAATCAATTGTCCATCCAGTAAAAGTCTGAAACTCAGCTCAAGAAACATTGCATCTGTTCCTAATAGATGCCTGGAAGAAAATATTATCCCAAATCTGAATAAATGGTGGTAGGAGGGTAGTTTGGTTTATCAAGTGCTGTAAACAAACTGACCTGCTGTCCTTCACTAAGTTTTGTTTCAATGCCATTTCAAGCAACCACCTTCCAGCTGAGCAGCTTAACAGTTTACCGGTGTAACTGCTTTTACCCCTCTGAAATGAATAACAACTCTCTAAATATGGAGATTAACTATCAGAAGACTAATCTTACACTATCTATCCAAAATACTCAAGGTCTGATTTTCTTTGAGCTATCTTGAATTTAAAATACAGCATACACAACAGGCTCCTGATTTATTTGCTATGATGTTTTGCTGCCAAGCTTTTTCCTGTATAATCATATTACTTAAAGTATTTATGAAGGCTGAGCTTGTTCCTCCTTTATGCAAAGTGTCAGACTGATGAGAGCTTTCAAATTATTTGTCATCATGAAAATTTAAAATAAAAATATAGGATTAATTGTAAAAATTAATCACATAAGGCCACTTAAATGGCAAGAGACTATACAATTTGCATAGTTTGTTTCAAACTCTACAAACTTCCCACTTAAACTGCTTTAAAAAAGCTACTTCTAACAAAAAAGAAGAAATAGACTAGCCAAAGTTCTACACACTCACATCCCTAATGATATATTTAAATCATAATTTACTCAGCAACAAACAGGACTGTCATGGCAGCTGAAGCAAAAAGAGGTTTAATGCAATTCAAATACTGGAGTATAAATAATGTCATTAGCATTTCTATGCATAAGCAAACAAGCTACACTTAATTTTTCTTCCTGTATTTCACAAGGCATTTCTGGAGAGATCTATCTATCTGTCCTCTACATATTTTTTTAAATAAGCACACACTAAAATTGTATCTTACTGCATGAGTTCGTGTTGCTTATAAATATATAAGAGCTCTGTATTGACCATTGTTGAGCTGGTTACAGATGCATCTAGTTTAAAAACCACAAATAAGTTACGTATTCTAAAAGGAACACTCACCATAAACATGTTCTGTAAAGCTGGCACTAAGATTGATTTAAGCAGGAAATTATTCAAAGATCAGGTCCCAGAATCAGTATCATGTAATGCTTGTCCACTGAAGAAATAATGGCAGCCAAGCTGTGATTCCTCCAAAAGTATTATCATAATTCTTTTAAAATTGATATTCAAAAATTAAAACCTTTTTTCTAGATGCAGTACCAGCAAAAGAACCTGAGCCTTCAAAAACTGAAAAATCAACTGAACCAGCTAAGGCAATTCAACAGGAACAACATCAGCTCAATGATGGGAAAGAAGATGCCAAGTGAGTAAATTCAATTAAAAAATTTGAAGCTTTTTTTCAGACATCCTGACTTAACATTTCTGTGTGCCATATTTCAGTTCATTAAATGTCCCTCCTGTCCTATAAGGATCTGAAGAGCTTTATTTGATTTCTAAGGCAACCATATATATGAGGTATTCATTTAGTATGTGCTTTTGATATTTTGTTGTGAACATCATCCTAAATTGCAGGAATGAGGAAAAGGATTTGCTCAACTACACTTATATACTAATTCTAACAATGCTGTTGCTCAGTTATTATTACTCTACCTTAGCAAAGAATAAGTTCCAGGATTCTGCCCTGAATAGCTGGAATGTTTGTCACATCATTCTGACTTAAAAGCTTTTTACCCTGCACATTTGTTGCTGAATTACACCATTAAATCAGTATTACTCTGCACAACCAGAGGATTAAGACTGTCTCTTCCTGAGAAGAGACAAATAAATTAAACAGTAATGTTCCTTCAGGGGAAAATCTAGGGTCATTCAACCTTTGGAAAAAGTTTAGGTGACTGTTTGTTTTGCTAAAATAGAAATAAATATGAAGTCCAGAAAACAATAGTCTTGGAATAGCCTACATTCATTACAGAAGCATAGATTCATAGAATCATAGAATTGTTTAGGTTGGAAGGAACGTTTAAAGGTCATGTAGTCCAACCCCCCTACAATGAGCTGGGACATCCTCAACTAGATCAGGTCGCTCAGAGCCCCGTCCAACCTGACCTTGAATGTTTCCAGGGATGGGGCATCTACCACCTCTCTGGGCAACCTGTTCCTGTGTTTCACCACCCTCATCGTAAAAAATGTCTTCCTTATATCCAGTCTAAATCTACCCTCTTTTAGTTTAAAACCATTACCCCTTGTTCTATCACTACAGGCTCTATTAAAAAGTCTGTCCCCATCTTCCTTATAGGCCCTCTTTAAGTATTGAAAGGCTGCAATAAGGTTTCCCCAGAGCCTTCTCTTCTCCAGCCTAAACAACCCCAATTCTCTCAACCTTTCCTCACAGGAGAGGTGTTCCATCCCTCTGATCATTTTTGCAGCCCTCCTCTCGACCCACTCCAACAGGTCCATGTCTTTCCTGTACTGAGGACTCCAGAGCTGGATGCAGGACTCCAGGTGGGGTGTCACCAGAGCAGAGTAGAGGGGCAGAATAACCTCGCTTGACCTGCTGGCCATGTTTCATTTTATGCAGCCCAGGATATGGTTGGCTTTCTGGGCTGTGGCTGCACTCAAACCCACTGTCTGTGTCACTGATTAAACAGCTATTAAACAGCTTCATAGAACAGCTCAGGTTGGAAGACTGCTCCAGAAGGAATGAGGTCCAAACTTCTTCTAAGAGCAGGACAAATTTAGAGGTTAGACCCAACTCCCAAATTAGATCAGGTTGCCTAGAACTTTGTTCAGTATAATTGTGAATGTGTATCTCCAAGAATGGAGTTTCCACAGTTTCTCTGGGCAATCTGCTCCATGGTTTGACTATGCTTATTATGAAAATTATTACCTTACATATAATTAAATTTTCCTTTGCTCTAACTTGCTTCCGTTGCTTCTCATCCTTTTGCTGTGCACCTCCAAGAACAGTCTGGGTCCACGTTCTCTAGAACCGCTCATTGGGTAGTGGAATACTGCAATTACCTCCATCTACTCAACTTTTCATCTCCAGTCTGAACAAACCTGGCTTTCTCAGCATCTCCTCATATATCCTGTTCTCTAGTCCCCAGTCATCTTAATAGCCCTCTGCTAGTGTTGCACCATGTGGGTAGTGCTTTCCAGGTACAGGGGAGACTACAGCTGGATACAGATGCAAACTCATAAATGTCACATGGAAGGAAATAACGGCTCCCCTTCAATCAGCTGGCTATGCTTTTTCTAAAGCATAGCATGTAGTTAGCCTTCATTGCTGAAAGAACTCATCATCGATTCATATGCAATTTTTTGTCCACCAGGACCCCCAGATCCTTTTATGCAAAGCTGTTTTCTAGTCAGTCAGCTCCAAGTCTTTACTCTTGCATGGGGTTATTCCATTCCAGGTATGGAAACTTGCATTTGCCTTTGCTAAGCTTCATGAAGTTCCTGCCTGTCTGTGCCTACAGCCTGTTGAGATCCCTTTGAGTGGAAATTAATGGATACATTCAGTACAGAACAGGATAGAAACTCCTCCTGCTTGCTTTTGCCTTCTATGATTTTGATTACACTGATGACACAAAGCTAAAGTCTTTACCTGACATAGAGTTATTTAATTTATAGAGAAGATTATCTGTTTCCTCTCCTTCACTAAGACAGACTTTGTACTGCAGTGACAAGGAATAATCAAGCAAAATACTACTGTATACGCCTCTATAAAATAATACATGCAATTAAAAATAACTCTGACTAGAATGGCTGGAAATGTTATAAATAACTTGGTAATTTGAATGTGAATCAGTAGGTCAACAATGAAAACCTAGATAAAGCATCTCCTTTTTTGTCATTGTAGGATATATTATTAGATGCTTACAGTTCCACTGGTAAATCCCGTAACCATGGTTAACATGATTACAATATGCTTATGAAACAAAGGGGTATGTTGCTTATTAGTAGAAGACAAAATCCATCTGTTAAAAGGAAATTAAAAATCTTTATGTTAAACCTTCTCCTCTCAGAACCGTTCTGAGTCACTGTCATGTGTGCATCCGGATATATCTAGTCAGTCTAATTTGAGCAAGAGCTTCTAAAAATACAGTAAATCTTTGGTAAATTCTACTGTCAAAACAGTTACCTGCTAAATTCTGCAGCACAGCTTGGAAGGCATAGGGCTGGTGTCATTGCATTGGTATGAAACTAAACTAAACATCTATTATATGACTTTCAGAGGTGGAGGGAGAATAATTTTTAAAATGTGCCTTTGAGAGAATTTAATTCGTTGCCCCTGAAGATTCATGAGAGTCTATTCAGACACTATTCTTGATCAAGGTCACTACCTTATTGAGTCTATGAGTTCAAATTTACTCACTAGAATATTTTTAAGGAGATCAACTGCCTTTATCATGAGAGGAAAGCTAAGTAAATGTGTATGCATATGGAGAATTTGAGTCAAATAGATATATGTAGTCTACAAAAATAGCAGTAAATGAAATGTGTTCAGATCACTCTCCAGCACTGAGGCCAGCTAGAACAATACAAAATGCCTCCTGAAAGAAGTGTCAGTTGTGAACTATCTTTGCTCAATGCCAAATTCTGGGTATTCCCATACCTGGGAATTACTTGGAAAAGTGCCAGTTTGACTATTCAAAACCATATCAAGAACTGTTCATACAACTCAACAAGATAGTCAACTGAGAGTTCCATTGTCCGGTAGTTTCCCCTGTCACTGTTTAATCTACATGTAGATAATGTCCAAATGGAGATTAGTAACAAGCGGTATCCCTTGGGGGTCTGCATTGGGAGCAATACTATTTGATATCTTTATTATTTACATAGACAGTGAGATTGAGTGCACCCTCAGCAAGTTTGCAGACAACACCAACCTGAGTGGTACAGTTCATTCATTGGAGGGAAGGGATGCCATCCAGAGAGACCTTGAGGAGTGGACCCATATGAACCTCGTGAAGTTCAACAAGGCCAAGTGCAAGGTCCTGCACCTGGGTCAGGGCAATCACCAGTATCAACACAGGCTGGGTGATAAATGGATTGAGAGTAGCCCTGCAGAGAAGGACTTAGAGATACTGGTGAATGAAAAATTAGCTATGAGCTTGCAATGTGTGCTTGCAGCCCAGAAAGCCAACAGTATCCTGAGCTGCATAAAAAGAAGTGTGACCAACAGGTCAAGGGAGATGATTCTGCCCCTCTACTCCACTCTCATGAGACCCCACATGGTATAGTACCTCCAGCTCTGGGGTCCTCTGTACAACAAAGGCATGGACCTGTTAGAGCAGGTCCAGAGGAGGGGCACAAAAATGATCAGAGGGATGGAACACCTCTCCTATGAGGAAAGGCTGAGACAGTTGAGGTTGTCCAGTCTGGAGAAGAGAAGGCTCCAGGGAGACCTTATTGCAGCATTTCAATATATAAAAGGGGCTTATAAGAAAGATGGAGAGAGACTTTTTTCCAGGCCCTGTAGGGACAGGTCAAGGAGTAATGGTTTTAAACTAAAACTGAGTAGATTTAGATTAGATGTAAAGAACAAATTTTTTTGTGATGAGGGTGGTGAGACAATGCTTGCCCAGAGAAGTTGTGGGTGCCCCATCCCTGGAAGTGTTCAAGGCCAGGTTGGATGGGGCTTTGAGCAACTTGATCTAGTGGAAGATGTCCCTGCCCATGGCAGAGGGGTTGGACTAGATGATCTTTAAAGGTCCCTTCCAAACCAAACTATTCTATGATTCTATGATACTGTTAGGGAAAGAGCCATAATTTGGTTGGTTGAATGAATTCAAGGCTGGTGAAATGGTTGGCAGAATTTTCTTAACTGAAATCTCAGATTTCGTCCAGCTGTATTTCAGGGCAGTATCTGAGGGAAGGGGAGATGGGAGCCAAGAGTAACCCCAGCACAAGCAGTGTCCTTATCAACAAGGTGTAGTCCCACAGGGTCTGAACACAGCAAGCAGAGCAGGATCCTAGTAACAGGGTCCATCAACAAGCCAAAGTGATGAACCAGGTTTAGGGTCCATCCAGGGAGCCCAGTTAGGAGAAAAAAGACTGGGTCAGGGACAGGACTGGAGACAAGGCTACAAAATGGCTCCAAATTCCACCCAGGAGACAGCACCAGAGACAGAAATGGAGCTATAGACACCTAGGCATAGCTCAGGCAGTGATTAAGGCCTGAGCTTAAGTGGACATCCCAGGCCCATGGGCAGAGAGTGTGGGTGGAAGTCCCACTGGAGGCTGCTCAGGGCCATTAAGGCCTGTTGGTGTATTCAGGGTCCTGGTACTGTGCTTTGACTTACTTAGATAGACTATTTTTCTATACTATCCTCCAAGAGTGAAAGTTTAATAAAAAGTCAC